AAGAAAGGAGAGCAGTAAGGAAATAGACGCTAGACCTCAGGTGGGACTGGCAAGATGGGGGCGGATTTGAGAGGTTTTTAAAATAAACTTAATTTCAGAATAGTTTTAAATTTACAGATTTATTGTGAAGATAACAGAGAAGTCCCGTATGCCCCACAGCCAGTTTTCCTTAACAGTTTACATTAGTGTGATATATTCGTCGCAATTAATGAACCAATATCAGTACATTATTATTAACTAAAGTCCATACTTTATTCCAATTTCCTTAGGTTTAACTTAATGGCCTTTTTCTGTTCCAGGATTCCATCCAGACTAGCACACTACATTTAGTCATCTTGTCTCCTTAAGCTCCTCTTGGCTATGACACTCTCTCAGGCTTTCCTTGTTTTTGATGATCTGGAGTCATTTGAGGAGTACTGGTCAGGTATTTTATAGAATGTCCCTTAATCAGGATTTGTCTGATGTTTTCTCTCATGATTAAACTGAGGATATGAGTTTGGGGAAGGAAGACCACAGAAGTCAAATGTCATTCTCACTAGATCCTATCAAGGGCATGTACTATCAATATGATTTACCACTGTTGATGTTAACTTTGATCACCTGGCTGAGGTAGTGTCCGTCAGGTTTCTCCACTGTAAAGCTATTCCTCTTTCTCTTTTTCCATGCTGTACTCTTTGGAAAGAAGCCAAGTAAGTGCAGCCCGTGCTTAGGGAATGAGGAGTTATGCTCCATTTCTATGCTCCATTTCCTTGAGAGGGAAGTATGTACATAAATTAATTGGAATTATTCTGCAAGAGCAATTTGTCTGTTCTGTGAGAGCTTTTAAGATGTTGGACTCGACAGGCTTTAGATATGGAAGGAGAGGGATTGAGAGGAGTCAAGATGACTGCCACGTTGGTGTGAGACCTTTGGCAAGGCCCCTTCCCTCTCTGGGCCTCCTCTGTGAGATGGTTGGAATACCAGATCCTTGACTTGTCTCTCCAATGATTCTGATAAATGTTTTGAGGGGGACAGGATGGAGGCTTTGATGTGCTGTCAGAGGTGGGTAGGGAGGACTGAGGCTCAGAAAATAGAATGTCTTGCCTAAAGTAACGCAATACCTCAAGGCCAGAGCTGAGAGTGCAGGATCCTAGAGAAAACAGACATCTACATGCAATATCTGGAGCCAACCCCAATGAGTATGTGGTGAAGAGGAGGGGAGGGGAAAGCAGCAGGGGCAAAGGCAATGGAGTAGGCCAGGAAGAGGTCGGCCTGCCAAAGGATCCCAGCTAATCAGAGCCAGAGTCACCAGCCTGGTTACTCTTGCCTCAGTCTGACTTACCTCACAACATGACTCTCCTTGTCCTCTCTAGAGGGCCACAGTTTTCCCATCTATAAACTGAGGCTTATCGTGCTGGGGGATCAGTCCAGGAGAAGCGACCTGCCTAAGATCTCAAGACAGAGTCTAGCCTTGAAGCCGGTCTCTGAAGTCTGGCCTTCATTGTGCTCTTCCCTGATTCTTCTCTGTCCCCCAAATCAAATCCCCAGCCCCTCATCCTGGCATTTCGGACTCTTCTTCACCCACCCTATTATAGGGCCTCTGGTCTTCATCTTCAGGGATGCTCTTAATAGTCAATCATAGGATTCTAATATAGTTGGCCAGGGTGCTCATGTCCTTGGCTGAGCCATGTGAGGACAGGATGTTCTTTGCCCAGAGTAACATCTTGTTCCCTGTGCCCTCACTCTTCAGTCTGGACCTCCGAAAGGGAGGGCTGTTCTAGGACTTTAAGGTCACATCTAGCTCCAAGATATTGTCTTCGCCGAAGGCCAGAGAAGACAGGCCCCATTGGCTGAGACCTTAAACAGAAACCAGGAGGATGAAGAGTCATGGGCCCAATGTGCCCTAGGGCCTGTTCCCATGTTGAAACTACTTGTCTTCATATGCTTCCTAGCTTGCCCTCACTCCTTTGCAGCAGAGGGCCCTGCTCCTGGGTGGGAGGTTCCTGGGATTTCCTGGGACCAGACCTTTAAAGTGCCACCTACTTCTGTGAGCAGAATCAGATTGGCAGGGACAAAACTAGATTCAAGAATGTCCCTCCTTCTTAGGTGACCCAAAGGGCCAGCACTGGCTCCCCCAATTGGGGGTGTGCAGGATGGTTGGGAAGGAATTCTATTATTCATTCAGTAAACACTTACAAGTACCTACTGTGTGCCTGAAGTACTGAACTGGGTGACAGGGATACAGCAGGGAAACAAGATAGAGCAAGTCTTTTTGTTGTTGTTGCCCAGCCTGGAGTGCAGTGGCACAATCTCTGCTCACTACAAGCTCTGCCTCCCGGATTCACGCCATTCTCCTGCCTCAGCCTCCCGAGTAGCTGGGACTACAGGCGCCCGCCACCACGCCTGGCTAATTTTTTGTATTTTTAGTAGAGACAGGGTTTCACCGTGTTAGCCAGGATGGTCTCGATCTCCTGACCTCGCGATCAGCCTGCCTCGGCCTCCCAAAGTGTTGGGATTACAGGCGTGAGCCACTGCGCCCAGGCTGATAGAGCAAGTCTTTTTCCTCCTGGAGCCTAGAGTTCAAGACAAATATTCTTAATATTTTTTGTGCCATGGACCCCTTTGGTAATCTAGTGAAGCCTATGGATCTTTTTCTTTTTCTTCTTTCTTTTTTTTTTTTTTTTTAGATGGAGTCTCACTCTTGTCGCTCAGGCTGGAGTTCTATGGCATGATCTTGGCTCACTGCAACCTCCACCTCCTGGGTTCAAGCAATTCTCCTGCTTCAGCCTCCCGAGTAGCTGGGATTATAGGCGCCCGCCACCACCCCCAGCTAATTTTTGTATTTTTAGTAGAGACAGGATTTCACCATGTTGGCCAGGCTGGTCTGGAACTCCTGACCTTAGGTGATTCACCTGCCTCCGGCCTCCCAAAGTTCTGGGATTACAGGCCTGAGCCACTACGCCCCACTGGACCTTTTCTCAGAAAAAAAAAACAAAAATCGCTTAAATTCATAAAATAAAATATCTAGAATTACAAAAGAAATTGATTACATTGAAATATAGTTATTAAAATATGGAAAAAGCAAATATGTGCTATAGTATAATCATAAATGTACTCCCCATTAATCCATTAAATCATAAGATTTAATGGAGGGTCTAATGACTATCATGATTTCAAAATAATGATTGAAATTATATGATTTTCAAGAGATCGGCAACATCTATAATGTGATATGAAAATCTCTGATTTCTATTGGTGACAATCAGTACTGCTACTACTGCTGCTACTATGCCTAGTTACATTCTTTATTGAAAAATGCTAAATTTCAGTTAGAGGAGAGGGAAAATAAAGACGTAATTTTTTTTTTTTTTTTTTTTTTTTTTTTTTTTTTTTTTGAGACGGAGTTTCACCCTTATTGCCCAGGCTGGAGTGCAATGGTGCGATCTCGGCTCACCGCAACCTCCGCCTCCCAGGTTCAAGCGATTCTCCTGCCTCAGCCTCCCTAGTAGCTGGGATTACAGGCATGTGCCACCACGCCCAGCTAATTTTGTATTTTTAGTAGAGATGGGGTTTCTCCGTGTTGGTCAGGCTGGTCTCAAACTCCGACCTCAGGTGATCCGCCCGCCTCGGCCTCCCAAAGTGCTGGGATTACAGGCGTGAGCCATTGCGCCCGGCCATAAAGATGTAAATTTGTTTCCATCCAAATTCATGGGCTTCTCCAAACCCTGTCACCAGCCTCGATTAGAGGTCTGTAGAATACAAATTAAGAATTCTTGCAATTCGGAGGGTCCTTCCCATCTCTCCTTCCTTCTTAAACAACTTTCCTTTGGAAGACGAAAGCCTGGGTTTTATTCTGGGTCTTATTGCGCCGACTGCCGGCGGTCTACGGTGAGAAGCCGCAAAGACGGGACGGTGGTGGGGAGTGGTAGCGGGAAGAGGCCGGGCCGGAGCGCGCGAGGGGTGGGGCCTGGCTGTGTGACTTCAAGCCAGTCAGTTTGCCTCTCTGGGCCATAAATTCTGCCCGCCTGAACACTGGGAAAGAATTGGGAGGAGGCCGGGCGCGGTGGCTCAAGCCTGTAATCCCAGCACTTTGGGAGGCCGAGGCGGGCGGATCACAAGGTCAGGAGATCGAGACCACAGTGAAACCCCGTCTCTACTAAAAATACAAAAAATTAGCCGGGCGCGGTGGCGGGCGCCTGTAGTCCTAGCTACTCAGGAGGCTGAGGCAGGAGAATGGCGTGAACCCAGGAGGCGGAGCTTGCAGTGAGCCGAGATCGCGCCACTGCACTCCAGCCTGGGCAACAGCGTGAGACTCCGTCTCACAAAAAAAAAAAAAAAAAAAAAAAGAATTGGGAGGAGAGAACTTAAATGTTTATGCCCCAGGCAACTGATTTATATATGTCCTCTCATTTAATCCTCACACATTGTGAGGAAAATTTTAAAACATCTTTCCATTACCAGATGGTTAAACTGAGGCTCCTAGCGAGGTCGTCACTTGACCAATGTCTCGGTAGGTATCAGGGACTGGTGGGTAACTCGCCACGTCCCCATAACCACCTCATCCTCCATGCATGGAATTAGGAACTCTGCTCACTTTGAGTGAGAGAAACCTGGCTTAGGAATCTCTGCAGGTGGGTGTGGAGCTGTGAGAAACTAGGGGCAGAATTGCGTCTCTTAGCAGAGCGGTGGCAGTGCAAGGTGGCTTATGGAGAGTAAAACGTCAAAGAAGCCAGGCAACTCGATTGTTCAATGACTTGGCGCCTGGCTGGGCTTCCGGCTTCGCGCCTGCGTATTGCCAATTAGCCCCCAGAAGCCCTGTCGAATAGACCAGCAAAGGACAATGACGAGCACTCCTTTCCTGGCCAATCCTATTAAAGGGTGGGCTTGGCTCCTTAACCAATCAAGGTCCCCCGAAGGGGCGGAGTTTTCCTCGGATTGGCTCTAAGCCTCGGGGGTAAAAATAAAGTGTTTCCATCCCCAGCCAATCCCTGGAAAGGCAGAAGGGCACTCCTCCAATGGGAGCCGGGGAGCCGTCTGTAGCGGCGTAGGCCCGTGCCCCTGCTCGCGCTGCAGCCCGTGGAAGGGTTGCGTCCAGTGTATCCTCCAGATCTTGCGGTAGTCCTCTCGTATCTGTGCGCGCGCGGGAGGGACAGCGGCGGCGACGGCCGGAGGTGTACGGTGAGAAGCCATAAAGACTGGGCTGTGGGGGGAGTGGCAGCGGGAAGAGGCCGGCCGGAGCTCGCCAGGGGTGGGGCCTGCGCGAGCTTTTACTTGGGCGGCCTCTCAATCCTAGGTCAGCGGGTTGCGGAGGATCGTGCGGGTAGCAAAGGGAGGCCGAGTGCGCCTGCGGCTCCCAGACGGCAAACGGGTGAGTACTCTGCGGAGCAGTCGGTGCCTGTTGCTGCCCTCCGTAGCCCCACTTCCCACCCTCAGTGTCTTTCGAAACGGTTCCATGCAGGTCTGCCGCTCACGTGATCATCTGCGTGCGTGTCTGTCTCTGCACCCCCTCTCCCATCTCTATCTCTTTCTGACTGTCCCACTTTTTAAGACGTAGTAGACATAAGATGCTGAATCCTGACCTGACCAGTTTAAACTAGCTATGAGACCTTGAGCTGTCTCCTTCACCAACCTGGGCCTCAGTTTCCTCATCTGTCAATTGGGGGTCTGATAATCTGTACCTGAGACAATTGCATGTGCGTTACTTTGCCCTGCACCCAGTCTTTAGAAAATTTTCAATAAATAATGACTATCTTGATTGAAAAGAATATTGTCTCTCTTGGTTTCTGTCTTTTCTCTGTCTCAGACCCTTCCTCCATTGGATCTTTCTGAATGCTTCTGCCTTTCTCTGTTACTGTTTTTCCTCTTTTTACCCGTCTCTTTCTCAACCCTAAGAGGTTAGAGGTGCATAGTTCATAGCAATTGGTTTACCCCCGAGGACATGAGCTTAGCCTGGGGCTCCGACCTGTTTTGTGGGTTAAAAAATGGAACCTGGCTTTGGGTTGCTTCTGGTCTCATTGAAGAGAGAACTATTTGCTCCCCAGCCTACTCTGTTAAACAAGTAGAGACACCCAAAGTGGGGAGCAACTTAGATTAAAAACCACTTTTTAATAACCCCTTATCCTATATGTTAGTCACCAGAAGAAGCCCACAGATCTCCTGGTTACATCTCCATACAGCCCTGGACATCCTATTTTCTATTTTCATCCTGAAATCCTTTGACCAGGCCTTAAGGAACTCACCTTCAGTTATCAGCAAAATTCCCTCCATTCTCATCCTGGCTTCTGAATACTCCCTTTATTTTCTTGCCATGCTTTGGTCGTTCTCATACTTGTTGGACCCAACATTGCTTTTTTTTAAATAAGGTATATTTTGAAATGCTTCACTTTTCTAAAATGAAATGGATAGAAAATAGAATCTGTCTACACACATAATTCCCTGAAAACCAATATAATGCCTTAATTGTAATATAGAGAGTAGTAAAGGAAGAGTAATGTATATTACATTATACATATATATGCAAAGACTGGGATATGACTCCACTAGAAGACATAATGAAATGGTCTTACACTTAATGATAGTGACAGCTACGAGTGTGTTGATGGGTGATTCAGAAGCCACAGGTAGAGTGATACAGTTTTCCTAAACAATTAACAGTTCTTCACAAAGTTCTAAACAAAATAATGTGGAATAGTTTCTTAGTTTATATGGTTGTTAAATTTCTGGAAAAATCAATATATATGCATATCCATGATCAGACCCTCTTAATCTCCCTGACCTTATCTCCCACCGCTCTCCCTGCCTTGCTCACTCTATCCACCCATGCTGGCCGCCTTACTATTACTTGAACACCTTACGCATACTTCCACCTCAGGGGTTTTGCATTCCGTGTATCAGGAATGCTTTTTCCTCAAATACCCACGAGACTGAGGCCCTTGCTTCCTTCAGGCCTCTACTCAGCTGTCACTTTCTCGGAGGGCCCCCCGACCATCCTGTTTAAAATTGCAGCTCTCCCCTAATATGCCCCTGCTCTGTCTGTTACATGGTATTCTACACCTTTTTCACAGTGCAGCATTAACTGCTTAGTATGTTTGCTGTTTTTTGTCTGACTCTCCCACTCAGTTATAAGCTCCAGAAGGGCAGGGATTTTTGTCTTTTTTGTTCTATGATATATTCCTATTACCTAAAATAGTGCTTGACACCTAGTAGACTTTCTCAATGAATGTTTGTTGAATGAATAAAAGAACAAATGAACAGATTTTTCACCTATATGACTGGTGAGATATTCTAAAGTTGTATGGGATGTGGTATGATTCTTCGTGGTGTGGAGCTGTCCTGTACACTGCAGAGGGCTGAGCATCCCTGGTCCATAGCCGGGGTTGTCACTGATGATCTCCAATTATTGTCACAGTCAAAAATGCCCCCAAACAGGGCCGGGTGTGATGGCTCACGCCTGTAATCCCAGCACTTTGGGAAGCCAAGGTGGGCAGATCACTTGAGTCCAGGAGTTCGAGACCAGCCTGGCCAACATGATGAAACTCCGTCTCTACAAAAAATACAGAAATTAGCCAGGTGTTGTGGTGCACGCCTGTAGTCCCAGCTACTCGGGAGGCTGAGATGGGAGGATTGCTTGAGCCCAGAAGGCGGAGGTTACAGTGGGCCAGGATTGCACCACTGCACTCCAGCCTGGGTGACAGCAAGACCCTGTCTCAAAAAAAACAACAACAAAAAAAACAATAAAAAATGGGTCGGGCACATGGCTCAAACAATAAAAAATGGGTCGGGCACTGTGGCTCACACCTGTAATCCCAGCACTTTGGGAGGCCGAGGTGGGTGGATCACCTGAGGTCAGGAGTTCGAGACTGGCCTGGCGAACATGGTAAAACCCCATCTCTACTAATAATACAAAAATTAGCCAGGCTGACGTGATGGCGCATGCCTGTAATCCCAGCTCCTGGGAAGACTGAGGCAGGAGAATAGCTTGAACCCAGGAGGTGGAGGTTGCAGTGAGCCAGCCTGGGCAACAAGAGTGAAACTTCGTCTCAAGAAAAAGAAAAAAAGAAAGAATGAATGTCCCAAAACACCCTTTAATTGTCCAGCCCCCACCTTTCAGTGAGAACCACTGCTTAAGTAACAGCCTGGCTTTCCCCTGAACACTCTCTCCTCCCGGCAGCCCTCTCATACCCCTCTTACTGGGAGACTGGGTGGTGAGGGTGAGGGTGGGTGTGCTTGCTCCTAGTTACCCTTTCCAGACATTCTCCCTCCTTAACTCTTTTTTCATTTAAGTTTTTTTTTTTTAGACGGAATCTGACTCTGTCACTCAGGCTAGAGTGCAATGGCACAATCTTGGCTCACTGCAGCCTCCGCCTCCTGGGTTCAAGTGATTCTCCTGCCTCAGCCTCCCAAGTAGCTAGGACTACAGGCATGCACCACCACGCCTGGCTAATTTTTGTAGTTTTAGTAGAGACAGGGTTTCACCATGTTGGCCAGGCTGGTCTTGAACTCCTAACCTCAAGTGATCCACCCACCTCGGCTTCCCAAAGTGCTGGGATTACAGGTGTGAGCCACCGGGCCCGACCAAGAATTCTTAAACCTAAAATAATTTCAAACTTAAAAAGCTTCAAAAATTTTACAAGAATTCTCATATATTCTTCACTTAGATTCCCCACATGTTAAGAAATTATATAATTACAGCCTGGGCGCGGTGGCTTACGCCTGTAATCCCAGCACTTTGGGAGGCCGAGGTGGGTGGATCACCTGAGGTCGGGAGTTTGAGACCAGCCTGGGCAACACAGTGAAACCCCGTCTCTACTAAAAATACAAAAATTAGTAGGGTGTGGTGGCGCACGCCTGTAGTCCCAGCTACTTGGGAGGCTGAGGCAGGAGAATTGCTTGAACACAGGAGGCGGAGGTTGCAGTGAGCCGATATCATACCACCGCACTCCATCCTGGGTGAGTTGCAGTGAGCCGAGATCGTACCACTGCACTCCATCCTGGGTGACAGAGCGAGACTCTCTCAAAAAAAAAAAAGAAAAGAAAAGAAATTATATAATTACAGTTTAACTATCAAAACTAGAAAATTAACATTGGTACATACAGGCATATCACAGGTTCAGTTCCAGACCAACACAATAAAGCAAGTCAGATGAAGTTTTTGGTTTCCCAGTGCATATAAAAGTTGTATTTACACTGTACCATAGTCTATTAAGTGTACAATAGCATTGTATCAAAAAAAGTATTTACCTTAATTTAAAAATACTATATTGCTAAAAAATGCTAAAGATCATCCCAACTTTCAGCAAGTTGTAATTTTTTGCTGGTGGAGGGTCTTACCTCGATGTTCATGGTTGCTGACTGAGCAGGGTGGTGGTTGCTGGTTGGGGTGGCTGTGGCAAATCCTTAAAATAAGATATCAATGAAGTTTGGCACGTTGACTCTTCCTTTCACAAAAGGTTTCTCTGTAGCGTGTGATGCTGTTTAATAGCATTTTACCCGCAGTAGAACGTCTTTCAAAACTGGAGTCAGTTCTCTCAAACCCTGCTACTACTTCATTAACTAAGTTTATGTAAAATATTCTAAATCCTTTGTTGTCATTTCCACAGTGTTCACAGCATCTTCACCAGGAGTAGATTCCATCCCAGGAAATCACTATTTTGCTCATCCATAAGAAGCAACTCCTCATCCACTAACTTTTTTCTTTTTTCTTTCTGAGACAGGATCTTGCTCTGTCACCCAGGCCAGAGTGTAGTGGTGCGATCACAGCTCACTGCAGCCTCGACCTCCCAGGCTCAAGTAATCCTCCCACCTCAGCCTCCCAGGTAGTTAATTGGGACTATAGGTTCATGCCACCACGCCCAGCCAGTTTTTGAAATTTTGCAAAGGTGGGGTCTTGTTGTGTTGTCCAGGCTAGTCTCGAACTCCTGGCCTCAAGCAGTCCTCCTGCCTCAGCCTCCAGAGCAGTGGGGACCACAGGTATGTGCCACCATGCCCAGCTATTTATTTTTTTTTAATTTTTGTGGAGACAGGGTCTCACTTTGTTTCCCAGGCTCCATTAAAGTTTCATCATGGTCCTGGCGCGGTGGCTCATACCTGTAATCCCAGCACTTTGGGAGGCCAAGTCTGGTGAATTGCCTGAGGTCAGGAGTTTGAGACCAGCCTGGCCAGCACGGTGAAACCTTGTCTCTACTAAATATACAAAAAAAATTAGCCAGGCATGGTGGCGGGCACCTGTAGTCCCAGCTCTTCAGGAGACTGAGGCAGGAGAATCCCTTGAACCTGGGAGGCGGAGGTTGCAGTGAGCTGAGGTTGCGCCACTGCACTCCAGCCTGGGCAACAGAGCGAGACTCCATCTCAAAAAAAAAAGTTTGATCATTAGATGGCAGCAATTCAGTCATTTCTTCAGCCTCCACTTCTAATTCTGATTCTCTTGTTATTTCTACCATCTCTGCAGTTGCTTCCTCTACTGAAGTCTTGAAACCCCTGAAAGTCATCCCTGAGGGTTGGAGTTAACTTCTTCTACACTCCTGTTAATGTTGATATTTTGGCCTCCTCCCATGAATCACAAATGTTCTTAATGGCATCTAGAATGGTGAGTCCTTTCCAAAAGATTTTCAATTTACTTTTCCTGGATCCATCAGAGGAATCACTGTCTATCTATGGCAGCTATAGACTTATGAAATGTATTTCCTAAATAATAAGACCTGAAAGTCAATATTACTCCTTGATCCATGGGCTGCAGAATGGATGTTGTGTTAGCAGGCATGAAAACAGCATGAATCTCCTTGTACATCTCCATCAGAGCTCTTAGGTGATCAGGTACATTTTTCAATGAGCAGTAATATTTTGAATGGAATCTTTTTATCTGAGTAGCAGGTCTCAACAGTAGGTTTAAAATATTTAATAAACTAGGCTATAAACAGATTTGCTATCATCCAGGCTTTGTTGCTCTGTTTATAGAGCACAGAGTATATTTAGCATAGTTCTTAAGGATCCTAGGATTTTCAGAATGGTAAAATGAACACTGGCTTCAAGTTAAAAGTCGCCAGTTTCGTGAGCCTCTAACAAGAGAGTCATCCTGTCTTTTGATGCTTTGAAGCCAGGTATTGACTTCTTTCTAGCTATAAAAGTACTAGATGGCATATTCTCCCCGTATAAGACTGTTTCAGCTACACTGAAAATCTGTTGGCCAGGTGCAATGGCTCGCGCCTGTAATCCCAGCACTTTGGGAGGCTGAGACGGGCGGATCACCTGAGGTTGGCAGTTCGGGACTAGCCTAACCAACATGGAGAAACCCCGCCTCTACTAAAAATACAAAATTAGCTGGGCATAGTGGCGCATGCCTATAACCCCAGCTACTCGAGAGGCTGAGGCAGGAGAATCACTTGAACCCAGGAGGCAGAGGTTGCGGTGAGCTGAGATCATGCCATTGCACTCCAGCCTGGGTGACAGAGCAAGACTCCGTCTCAAAAAAAAAAAAAAAGAAAAGAAAGAAAAGGAAAATCTGTTGACCGGGTATGGTGGCTCACGCCTGTAATTCCAGCGCTTTGGGAGGCAAAGGTGGGCGGATCATGAGGTCAGGAGTTCAAGACCAGCCTGGCCAACATAGTGAAACCCCGTCTCTACTAAAAATACAAAAATTAGCCAGGTGTGGTGGCGGGCACCTGTAATCCCAGCTACTCGAGAGGCTGAGGCAGGAGAATCAGTTGAAACCCAAAGGCAGAGACTGCAGTGAGCCGAGATCGCGCCACTGCATTCCAGCCTGGGCAACAAGAGTGAAACTCTGTCTCAAAAAAAAAGAAAAAGAAAATCTGTTGTTCACCAACTATCTTAGGTAGATTTTTCTAGATAACTTCCTGCAGCTTCTGCATCAGCACTTGCAGCTTCACCTTGCACTTTTATGTTACGGAGATGGCTTCTCTCCTTAAACCTCATGAACTGACTTTTGCTAGCTTCCAACTTTTCTTCCATAGTTTCCTCACCTTTCTCAGCCTTCATAGAATTGAAAAGAGTTAGGGCCTTGCTCTGAATTAGACTTTGGCTTAAGGAAATGTTGTGGCTGATTTGATTGTCTAGCCAGACCACCCAAACTTTCTCAATATCCATAATAACATGGTTTCACTGTCTTATCACTCATGTGTTCGCTGGAGTAGCACTTTTTATTTCCTTCAAAAACTTCTCCTTTGCATTCACAACTTGGCTAACTGTTCAGCACAAGAAGCCTAGACTTCGGCCTTTCTCAGCTTTCAACATGCCTTCCTCACAAAGCTTAATTATTTCTAGCCTTTGATTTAAAGTGAGAGCTATTGAAGGCTGGGCGCAATGGCTCACGGCTGTAATCCCAGCACTTTGGGAGGCTGAGGCGGGAGGATTGTGTGAGCTGAGGAGTTCGAGACCAGCCTGGGCAACATGGCAAGACACTGTCTCTAAAAAAAATAAAAAATAAAGTGAGAGACGTTGAGACACTTCCTTTCACTTGAATACTTAGAAGGCATTGTGGGGTTATTAATTGACCTAATTTCAATATTGTTGTGTCTCAGACAGGGAGGCCTGAGGAGAGGGAGAGAGATGGAGGAATAGCCAGTCATTGGAGCAGCCAGGACATACGTATTTGTCAGTTCAGGTTACCATCTTACATGGGTACAGTTCATGGTACCCTAAAACACTTACAAATAGTTACACCAAAGATCACTGATCTAGGCAGGGTGCAGTAGCTCACGCCTGTAATCCCAGCACTTTGGGAGGCCAAGGCAAGTGGATTGCTTGACCTCAGGAGTTGAAGACCAGCGTAGGCAAGATGGTGAAACTCCATCTCTACAAAAGATACAAAAATTAAGCTGGGCCCCGTGGCGTGTGCCGCTAGTCCCAGCTACTCAGGGAGGCTGAAGCAGGAGAATCGCTTGAGCCCAGGAGGCAAAGGCTGCAGTGAACTGAGATAACACCACTGCACTCCAGCCTGGGTGACAGGAGTGAAACCCTGTCTCAAAAAAAAAAATAAATAAAAAATCACTGATCACAGATCACCATAACAGATAAAAGAAAAGATTTGAAATGTGAAAATCACCAAAATGTAAGACAGAGACACTAAGTGAGCACATGCTGTTGGAAAAATGGCATTAATAGATTTACTCAATACAACTTTGCCACAAACCTTCAATTAGTAAACCACACAGTATCTGTGAAGTGCAATAAAGTGCAGCACAATAAAATGAGGTATTGCCTGTACTCTTAACGAAACTACAGAGTTTCTTTAGATTACATCAGTTTTTCACTAGTGCCACTTTTCAAGGATTCAGTTCAGGCTCCCACATTACCTTTAGTTATCATGCCTCCTTAGGCTCTTCCAATATGGAACAGTTCTTGAGTCTTTGTCTTTTATGATTTTGATCATTTGGAAGACTCCTGGACAGTTATTTCATAGAATTGGGGTTTGTTTCTAGTTTCACTGTGATTATATTCAAGTTATGTAATTCTGGTGAGAATACCGCAGAAGAGAAGTTATGTCTTCAGTGCTTCCTATCAGGAGGCATGTGATGTCATTTTGTCCTGATACTGGTTTTGTTCACTTTGAGTCCTTGTTTAAGGTGTTTAAGGTGGTGTCTGTCAGGTTTTTCCACTATAGTTCCCCTTTTTTCCTTCATAATTAATAAGTGATTTAATATGTTGGGATTATATAAATATCAACAACCCTGTTGTAAATCTCATATCATCAGAATATACCATCAACTACCACTTTGTATCATCATATACAGACATACACACATATCTGCCCCTGTCATTACCATTTCTAGATGAGTTTAGCTAAGATCTCACTGTCATTCTCTTTAACACTGGTCCAATCCTAATTCTTGGTGACTTTAATATCTTTGTAGCTGATCCTTCTAATATTTTCATCTGTTAGTTCTGTGATTTGCCACCCTACAATGATCCTGCCTTTTAACCCCACCTCAGCTACCTACTCCAATAGTCTGACCCTTGTTTTTTCTTTGAGATGGAGTCACCAGGCTGGAGTGCAGTAGTGCGATCTCAGCTCACTGCAGCCTCCGCCTCCTGGGTTCAAGTGATTTTCCTGCCTCAGCCTCCAGAGTAGCTGAGATTACAGGTGCCTGCCACCACGGTCAGCTAAATTTTGTGAGACGGCATTTCACCATGTTGGCCAGGCTGGTCTCGAACTCCTGACCTCAAGTGATCTACCCGCCTGGGCCTCCCAAAGTGCTGGGATTACAGGTGTGACCCACTGCGCCAAGCCTGACCCTTGTTCTTGTCAGTACCTGTGACTGCATTGTTTCCATATGCTCAGTTTCAGGCATCCTCTTCTCTAGCCAGTGCCTCCTATTTTTCTAGCTCACACCTACTAGTACTCCAACTCCAGCAATCCCTCAATCCCACTGGCACTGAACACTTTCACTCCCCTTCACTTCCTCCATGCTCCCATGTCCCTCCTTTAATCAGCTTAGATTCCATGGCCCACCGTTACAGTCATTCCTGGGTGGACAGTCTCACTTCCCTCCACCTTCTGTCACTTCAGCATACTTACCATCCACTTTACCAGGCACAGCCTCAGCCCTGGTTAAATCCAGCTCTCTACCTGCTCCATTGCATTTCCTCTCCTACCCTCCTAGATGATGATTGTTTTGTACCTTGTCTGCTGAAATCCTCAACATTTCCTTTCCTGTCCTTACACTCAGGCTTCCTACTTGACTGAAAACATGAAAACCATTGGAATAAAACATCTGCATATTCCCACCACTACATCCAACTACCACATAGCATCTGTATCCACATACTCTGCCTTCTCTCTGTTCTGGATAAGGTGCTCCTACTGTCATCAAAATCCAGTCTCTCCACTTTGGCACTCAGTCCCATCCTCTCTCACCTACTTGAGGGCATGGTTCCTCCAGTTTTCCCCTTTCTCTACAAGATCATTCTCATTAGCACCCAGACATTCTATTACTTCATCCATCTTTTCGTTGCAACTTCATTGAGATACATGTCACATACCATCTAATTCACCTTTTATTTATTTATTTTTGAGACAGGATCTTACTATATTGCCCAGGCTGGACTTGAACTCCTGGGCTCATGTGATCCTCTGGCCTCAACCTCCAGAGTAAAATTCACCCTTTTAAAGGGTACTGTTAAAATAATAATAAATAATATTATAAATAAATAAAAGTATACCATTCAGTAGTTTTATTTATTTATTTTTATTTTTTGAGACAGACTCTCGCTCTGTCACCCAAGCTGGAGTGCAGTGGTACAATCTCAGCTCACTGCAGCTTCTGTTTGCTGGGTTCAAGTGATTTTCCTGCCTCAGCCTCCCAAGTAACTGGGATTACAGGTGCACACCACTATGCCTGGCTAATTTTTGTATTTTTAGTAGAGACGGGGTTTTACCATGTTGGCCAGGGTGGTCTCAAACTCCTGACCTCAAGTGATCTACCCGCCTCAACCTCCCAATCGTGATCAATTTTAGAACATTTTCAACCCCGCACCCCCACCAAAGACGCTTCATACTCATTAGCAGTCACTTCCCATTAGTCTTCTCCCCAGTCCTAGCCACCTACTGTCTAGAGATTTGTCTCTTCTAGA